TACATTATGAACGCAGCCTTAAAACAGCTCTTTCTGTTAATTAATTATCTTGTTTTGCCACACATGCCTCACCCCCTCTCGACCAAACTGAACAAGGAATATAAAGTCACAAAAAACGGGCTACCATTTAATCAAGAATAGCAGCCAAACGTAAGAAGCGTTAAAGGGTTTTCAGCTACTATATTTTTAAAGATTTTTTCATTCTCTGGATCCAATATTGAAACAATTCACCTTCTCTTTCCCTGTTGCTCGGTGATATCCTCAATTTCGTGTACAAAGTTTTTTCATGCGCAACCAATTTAACAAAGACGTGATATTCTCTTGGGGATGAGATGTGGTCTGAATTGGGGACCATTACGCCCAGTCCAAGCTAAAGAGGCTTATATACATCCTCCGCTCGGGCGTAATGTTTTCCCATTTCAGACCACGTGTCATTCCCTTGAGAATGAGATTCTTTGTTTGAGTTGCATCAATATTCATGTGTCTTCTCATGTGTAACCGAGCGCAAGCGTTAAACAAACAAATCATTCTATAGGGAATGACGGGTGGTCTGAAATGGGTAACAATTACGCCCGAGCCGAGGAGGTCTATTGGAAAAAGGACTATTACTAATATATCTTATTGTCGTTTAATCCCTAGTTTGTTTCACACCCAGCCTCGAACAACACGGTGTTTAATTCACCTAAAGAGTGCTTAAAAAGCAGCCCAACGGCGTATTTCTTTCATCGCAAAACCCTTCTCCACGCCGACAGCATCGAATCCACCACAGCATTTAACTGGAAGCTTGCCGTGGCACTGGCTGTAGCCTGGGTACTAGTTTATCTCTGCGTCATCAGAGGAATCAAATCTTCCGGAAAGGTATAGAGGCTTTGCACCATCACGTGATGGCAGCCATGACAGGAGGCAGGAACAATTGAATTTGGTCTTAATTTGGATTCACACGAGAAAGGTTTCGGTTTCTCAGGGAAAAAAACACTATTATTGTGCCTCACGTCATGGCTGCAATCACGTGATCGTGCAAAGCCTGGAGACTTGTAAACAAAATGACGTCACAACTTGTACTGAATTTTCTTGAATTTCTAGAGAAATACGTTTTTGAAACAAATTTAACCGTGATATTCTTATTCATGCCAATAAAATACACATTTTTAACATTAAAAGTTTTTCGTGTCATGTGCACTTTAATGAAGTTGCGCAAGGGATTGGATCTAGTTTGAGACTTCAATGAATCATGGGGCTGTTTTGATACGAACTAATTCATTACAAGGCTTGATACCCAGGCCTTTCTGCTGCTCTTGGGGCGGAAGGGATTTTATGATGATTCTCAATAGATCACTTGCATTATGGCGTCATTTACTACCGCTACCAGGCTCCCTTGCACACTTTCTTTTCTTAATTAGCCCAGTTGTTTTAGCCCAAAAGGAAATACAAATTTGAATAAGGAAGAAAATTCATCTTGATAGTGGTAGTAAAAAGACGCCACCATCAAGCTAGCTCACGGCCTATTCACGACTTAAAGTTTTTCATGAGATTCTATGCTTCTATATCTTACCTGCTTCAAATCATCAGCATCATCTCCTCTCTCCTTTTAGGTTGTGTACCTCACCGCTACATTCCCGTATGTAGTCCTCATAGCATTCTTCATCCGGGGACTTTTACTGGAAGGTTATGACGTCGGCATCAAGTATCTCTTCACTCCTAAGGTAGAAAACATTACGTATCTTTAACAAGGGCCTGTTTACCAGCTGGGAGGAAAGTCTTAATAGAGTAATAGAGTTACCCTCGAAGGAGGGTAAGCTCAGATTTACGGACAAGATGAAGGGTAATTGTAGTGGTAGGGTAAGCCATATTCTATCAGAAAATATTTGTGGCAGTTTTTACTCGAAAATCTATTTTGACTGTTAATATTACGATCCTGCGGGCATTCATTCACTGGTTTATAATAATGGCTAAGTTATTAGAGATATAGATATACAAGAAGTTTGACCATCGATAAAAGTATAGAACCGGGAAGGTGATCTTCCCCTTGTATACAGTGTGTGCAACCGTGTGACTCAAAATCCCTTGAGATATGAATGACAATGAAACAGCCGCCATGTCGATTGATCTAGCAAGATTTAAAGAAGCTAATGAGGAATGCTTTATTATCGTCAACCAACATGGCGGCTATGACGTAACATGCGCATGCTCTATACTATCAGGCTCTTAGTTTGGATTTGAAAGAGTAGACGGCCAAATCTTTTTTATGTTGATTTTTAAAACTTGATTTTGCTTTTTGCTTTTACAGGAAAACTTGCGTGACAATCAAAGTCACGAAAAAAACATGGTGTGAATTCGGCGCAGATGGCGTGACATTCAAAGTCACGTGAACAAATCATTACCTATCCCCATCCCCCTCCGGTGAGAAGAGAACGATTTTCGCTGCAATTCAAAAGCGGCTGTTAACTTGATTCTTAATCTGATCTACACTTTGAATTTGCTTTTACAAGTAGAGGTAACGAACGAGACTACTGAACAATCTAGAATTGCAACCAGCAATCGGCACATGCACAGAATGCCAACATGCATGATTACAGAGAGTTCCTGGAGATCTCTCGTCCAATGGGAACATACAACCGTTTGCAACTGCACTGTCGTATATGGCGGCATGCTTGACATGCTGCAGTTTGCCTGGTTGATTGCAACCTGCAATCCAAATGCAGGTAATGCCAACATGTAGGAGAAAAGAGTTTTGCTGGAGACCCTTCGTATAAGAGAACCAGGTAAACTGTAATGTAAAGATGTGCAACAGTTTCTTAGATTCTATACAAACTACAATCCAAATGTAGGCAATGGCAACATGCATGAGCACAAAGAGTTTCAACAGATCATTCGGTCAAGAGAAACATACAGCCGTCCAAAAGTGCATTCTCATGTGTGGCAATAACAGTTTATTGCATTCTATGAAACTTGCAAGATAAGCACAGAGGGTCTTAACACATATCTCGTCCAAGAGAAAAAGTTGTCTACAAGAGAATATGTATGGAATGCAACAGCTTATTGGATTGTATTGCAACTTGCAATTCAAACGTAGGTACTGGCAACGAGCATGAGTGCAGAGAGTTTTAACAGATCCCTCATCCAAAAGAAATAGTTGTCTGAGTACACTGCCGTGTATGTCATGCAACAGTTTGTACTATTCTATGCAACCTGCAATCCAAATGCAGGTATTGCCAGCATGCAGGAGCACAGAGATCTAACAGAATGCATAGAGCCGTCTACAAGTGCACGGGCAAGTAAGATATGCAACAGTTTGTTGGAATCTATGCAACATGTAGGTAATGACACGTGACGTGCATGCGTAGGGCAGATCCCTCACTCATCCAAGAGAAACCTACAGGTGAAATGTCAATGTCATGAGGTGACATCGTTAACGTATCTATCCATACATCTCGTACGTTAAGTGTTCAAGACAATATTTCGCTGCTCAAAAAGGACGGAGGGAACTATACAGACACATGCAGACTGTCTTTTTTGCTCAATTTTCTTTGACTATTGGTTAGCTTACCCTGTGCCGTGAGCTCAGGGGTAGGACACACCGCGAACTAGGTTGTTCTCAAAACACCTAGATGGGGTATATTGAATAC